CAAAATAACTCTGGAAGTATGAAGAATCAAACTGAAAGCACATCCCCAAAAGGGAACATCTGCTCTCTAGCAATGGATATAAACCAAATTCAGAACACTGAAGTGACAGATGAAGAATTTCAAACATGGATTGTAAGAACACTCTATAAAATACAAGAGAAAATGGGTACCCAATACAGATTCACCGCACACAAAAAAATCCAGGAAATGAGTAAAAAATTCACTAAAGACATTGAAATATTAAAAAAAAATCAAACATAACTTCTGGAAATGAAGAATTTATTCAAGGAATTACAAAACAATGGAAAGCCTCAAGAATAGGCTAGATCAAGCAGAAGAAGGAATGTCAGGGATTGAAGATAACACCTTTTAATTAAACAAATCAGTTGCAGAGATAGAGCAGAGAAATAAGAGAAAAGAGCAAAGGTTACAAGAAATGTGGGATTGTATGAAGAAGCCTAACATGAGAATCATAGGAATCCCAGAGGGTGAAGAAGAAAATACACAAAAGTTGCATAAACTATTTGAGGGTATAATGAGAGAAAAGTTTCCCTGGCCTTGCCAGAAATCTAGATAGCTGGGTACAATAACCTCAACCATCTCGAGAGATTCATTGCAAACAGGAAGACACCATGATTGCACAATCATCAGACTGGCCAAAATAAACACAAAAGAGGCCCTCCTATTAGCTGAGTCATAAGGTGAAAGCAGCAGGTAACATACAAAGGAATACCCATTAGACAAACTGCAGACTTCTCAACTGAGACCTTTCAAGCCATAAGAGACTGAGGCCTCATTCTCAGTCTTCCCAAGCAGAATAATGCCCAGCCTAGAATTTTGTATCCTTCAAAACTAAGTTTCTTATAGGAAGGAGAAATAAAGACCTTCTCAGATAAGCAAACACTGAGGGAATTCATCAAGACAAGACTTCCCTCCAGGAAGTACTCAGAACAGCGTTACACATGCATCAGCACAATAGACATTCACAAGTATAAAATCATCCAAAAGGTAAAGGGAAAAGGCCAGACACCACAATGGTTCAAGAGAGAAAACAAAACAACAAAGTTCAATGCAACAGATTGAACAGAAATCTGTCTTGCTTATCAATTCTTTCAATAAATGTGAATGGCTTGTACTGCTCACTAAAGTGGCATAGCTTCCCGAATGGATAAATATACACAAGCCAAGTATCTGCTGTCTTCACAATTCCACCATGTGCCAGGCTTGGGAGCTATGTGCAGTCCTAGAGGGAGGTGTAGAACAGTATGCAATTTGCCTTGTCCAAGGCACTGTTGGCTGCAGACTTTGCCACTCTTTTGCCATAGGGATAAATCCAGAGGGGGACATAGGTAGCAGGTCTGGGCTGGTCAGTGAAGATAGTGTGAAGCTGCTAAGTACACCTCACCTTTGTCCAAATTGGGCAGGACCCCTCATTGCCCCACCCCTGCTGAGCCTCTCAATTTCCTCTCCCACCCACACCCAGGTGTCACTCCAGAGCATAACACCTTCTCCAGCCCAGGGACCCTCATGCTGTTCTGAATTGCTTGATATGGCACCAGCCTAAAGTCCGAGACACTGTGCATTATACCACAGCCTCTGCTTTCTCCAGACCAGGGGTCCTCAAACTACGGCCTGCGGGCCACATGCAGCCCACCAATGACATTTATCCAGCCTGCTGGGTATTTTTGCCACCACTGCCTGTCATGCTTAGCAGCCGACTCATCCTGGGCCCATATTGAGCATGTGTGGAATGTGCGCCGCACTCTCCAACAGCCCTCCGACAGTCTGAGGGACAGTGAACTTTTTAAACTGTTTAAAAAGTTTGAGGACCCCTGGTCCAGAGCATTAGTTTAGCCACTTTTAGGAGAAATCTGCTGCCTGGCCTGCCTACAAAGAACTTCAGAACTTTGCAGGTTGTGGCATGGACTGTGGATTCATAAAAATGTCACCCTCATTGGTGCTTTTGTTGATAATGTGGAAGTTGAGGCATGAGAGATGGTAACTACTGGGTTACTCTAGATCTATTAAGAGCAGAAGAGATAATCCCAATTCTCAGCCATGTGTCTGGTGGCCATTTTCACAAATCCATTTAAGTGGTGAGGCCTCCAAAAATCAATCTGAAGGTGATGATGGTTTTAGGCATTTTACACATAAAATTATCGGCCTCATCTTGACTGAGGCCTGACTGTCTAGTGTCTTAAAGGGACACATGGTGAGTTGATCCCTAGAAATGAATGGCTTTCCAGCTTCGGGACAGTGACTTTCAAAGTGTAGAGCATGTGGGAATGCTTTGGATGGAGAGCTTATACCCCTAGTAGTCTGGGGTATACACTTACTTGCTGGGGCTGAATTGTTAAATCTTTCTATCTAGACAATCCAGAAGCATTTCTGCTTCCATGTAGCCCCTTAATAATTATCCCTAAATTTCTTAGGTCTCTCATGTACAGTTCCTTTGATTCCTAGAGGTTACTAACTTTCATGTTGTTATACCTAATTACAAAAATCTGGGTGTTAATCTACATAAAAATAAGACCTTTTCCATATTACATATTCTAATAGGTTTAATTTGTGCTTTCTGAATGTAGGATAGTATCAAAAGACCTGAGCAAACTGGTCATGGAAATGGGACCCTACCACTGTACTTTGTGAAGAATCTGCCCCTTCAGGATTAGCACCATTATAAAGAAAGGAAGAAAACCTATTAGGTATCTATGACCATGGAAAAATGAGGGAATATGGGAAGACCACAGATAGGTGGTCACAAATAGGGCCTAGTCACAAATAGGGCCTGTGGAGACAGTCTGTGTGGTCATGTGCACACATCCATCCTCAATCCCTCAGTGTTCTCATCCTACTCCTTGCTCTGCCCTGTTTAGGTAGGAGTTTCTGGTTATAGCTATCCTTAGGTGTTGGATGAGGCTGCTATAACACAAGGATCTTCATCATCTTAAAACAAGTATTAATGAAAAGGAAAGTTTTGTGATCTGTGTGAAGAGGCATTGCTGTTGGATGCGTGGCTGCAGAGACACTGTGCTCTCAGCAGTCCCCACAGTGGTTGCCTCAGAATGCTGGTGCGATGCAACTGCACCACAGCTTCTGTTCACAGAGCCAAGTTCTCCTTGTGGTTCAGTTCCTTTTGCTTAGATTTGGTGGCTCTGACCCTCCTCTCCTCATCTCATTCCTGGGAGTATCTACTGGGTTGCCCAGTTTGTTCTATTTTTTTCCTGGGAGCCAGTGTGCATCTAAATTCCAGAGGGTCTTTAAGGATTATACCCTCACTGACTGAGTCACTGTACCCTGGCTATGTACTTATCTTGTTGTAGCCATGTCCATCTTTTCCAATGGAGCTGTGAAGAATTCTAGTTCCTTGTAGAGCTTGTAATTGTGATTCTCCCAGGGCTGTGTATAAATTTGGTCATTTTGCCTTTGGCCTCATCAACATTATTTCTTTTGTGCATTTTGAAGTCACACTACTTTGTCAATAATATGGAAACTTGCCCTAACAGGCAAAGTACCTTAGTAAATTTAATCCTGGAAACTTGATGAAGTAGGCCTGTGATCCCCATTTCACAGGTGATGAAACTGACACCTTGAAAGATCAAGTAGCTTTCTTAACTTTACGTAAATTCATGGTGCATTGTTAAGCTTAACCTGGAGCCTTGCCTCTAAGGTGTGCACCTTTACCTCATACTCTACTTGTGTCTCTCTGACAGCATCCCATGGGCACATGTTTCATTCTGAGACCATTTTTCAGTTGATGACATGAAATTTGCCCAAATAGGTCCTTGGTGGTAAGGGAAATAGCTGGAGCTTGGCCTTTTCTGTTATCTGGCTTATCCCTGGCAGGTCTTAGGTATATTGAGTGAGCTGAAGCACTGGTAGATCCTGATCTGTCCTCTGCTGGGACATTTGTTGTCATATAAAGATTGGCAATGACAGCAACAAAATAATACATAAATGGGACTTGATTACATTGAAAATATTCTGTGCAGCCAAAGAAATAATTAATGGAGCAAGTAGACAACCTACAGAATGGGATAAATTATTGACAAGCTACATATCCAGTAAAGGACTAATAACCAGAATCTGCAAAGAACTCGAGAAAATCAGCAAAAACAAAACAAAACAAAACAAAAAACCAACAAAACCCCAATCAAACAACCTCATTAAAAAGTGGACAAAAAACATGAACAGAAGATTCTCAAAAAGATAGACAAATGGCCAATAAACATAGGAAGATATGCTCAATGTCATTAATCATCAGGGAAATGCAAATCAAAACCACAATGAGATATCACCTTACCCCACTCAGAATGGCCTTTATTAAAAAACCAAAAGCAATAGGTATTGGCATGGATGCAGAGAGAAAGGAATGGTTATACACTGCTGGTGGGACTGCAAATTAGTGTAACCTCTATGGGAAACCGTATGAAAATTTCTCGAAGAATTAAAAGTAGACCTACCATTGGATCCAGCAATCCCACTATTGGGTATTTAGCCAGAGGAAAAGAAGCCATTTTACCAATAAGGCACCTGGACTTGAAGGTTTATTGCAGCACACTTCACAGCCGTAAAGATGTGGAATCTACCCAAGTGCCTATCAATTCATGAGTGGATTAACAAAATGAGGCATATGTATAGCATAGAATAATACTCAACCATGAATAAGAATGACTTAATCCTTTTGCAACAATCTGGATTAAACTGGAGACCATTCTCCTAAGTGAAGTATCTAAAGAATGGGAAAACAAACACTACATGTACTCATTATTAAATTAGAACTAACCAATGAGCACACATGTGCAAGAGGGAAGTAAAACTCAATGGAAATAAAGCTGGGGAAAAGGGGAGGAGTGGATGGGCAAAAATCTACCTGACAGGTACAATGAACATTGTCTGTTTGATGGACACACTTGTAATAATGACAAGCTTTATAAAAGTGATCCATGTAACCAAAACTATTTTCACCCCATAATACTTTGAAATAAAAAAGAGCTAACACTGTACATTAATTTCATTTCTATATATAAGTGATTTATTATATTAATAGAATACTTTAAATGTATACACAATACACAAAATAGTATAATAAACTTGTGACCCAGCCTCAACCACTACTAATCATCAGCTATTTTTGTTTCATCTACACTTCAACCCATTCCTCACTCTTCACTTCATTATATTTTAGTTATTTTTGTGAAATAAAATGTATATATGCTGAAAATTCCGCTCTTAACTGCACCTTTTTGACACATCAATGCACTCATATGAAATTCTCCCCTTTTAAGAATAAAATTACTACACTTAACAGTGTTACTACAGTATAACAGTGTTATCACACTTAACACTTAACAATGTGCATGCTAATCACCTGGTAATATTATTTAAAATCCAGATTTGAAAGAACAGGTCTGGGATTTGCCTATAATTTGTATTTCTAACAAAGTATAAATCTGTAGAGCACGTAGTAACTACAAGGTCACTTGAATTTATAGTAAAGAATATTTGATGTGTAAAATTAAGGAAAATTGACTCGAATCAAAATGACCAATCAAAACACCTATACGACATACTCTGTAGGAGCATTTGATTGACAGTGATATAAACTAACCAAACAATTTTACAATTATTTTGGTAACCAAAATTAGCAAAATATCTATTATGGATTCCATGGAAATGCTCCCTCAGAGTTAAAAATTCTACTATCATGAGAAAGCATTGGTTAAAAAAAACAAAGATTTGGAAGTAGATGTCTTATACAATAAGTAGCTGACAACTTTCCTCACCCCATAATTGGCCTTTATTGAGTTGCCACAAATTCAGTCCTTTACAGACCAAGTGCAGATAATTTTTATAGCTTCCTATTAAAATTATATTTTAATGCCCTTACATAATTTAACTCAGTTTCTTATAATGTTAAATACCTTAAAATTGCTTAAAACACAAACAATAAAAAAATGATGTGGACCTATGAAAACATTTCACATTAAAAATAAAAAATGGTCTTTTCCCACATAAAGAGGCATCCAACTTTAATAGTCGTTAGAAAAAATAAATTACAAAATATATGTGTTTTCTTTGACCATCAGTTGGTTCTTAATCTTGTTTCTTTTTATGATCAATTGAATGAGGTCCTGAGTAAGGAACTCTGAAGTATACTGAGCTCTTTATGTTTTTCTTTTGAGTTCCTCTATTTATGCTTAGAGAAGGCTGTAGACACAGAGTAAATGAGAGACACTGGAATTTCAGTGTCCAAAGATGATTTAAATACTCCAAATATTTCACCTTTGTCTTTTTTCCTTCTGTCAGTCATGGTATAGGGCTCCAGAGTCTGAATTTGCCTGGGCTACTTCAGTTGCATGGTTCTGCTTCTTCCAATTTGAGCCCAAGGGCTGTGGGACAGGACCCCACCCCATACTTCACAAGACACCCCCTTATCTTGACCATGTGTCCTAAGAGCTGACATGTTACACATTCTCTGCTGGTTGAAAAGTAGGGAGGTCAGTGAGTCAGAATTGATCATAGGCAGCTTTCAAAAGTTACTGTTAGGACAGTTTTCTTGTTTTATTTATTTTAAATTTAGGGTTTTTTTATGGCAAGAAACAGACAAGTGGCCCATTAGCTGTCTGGAAACTCATGATGCAATAGTCATATCTGCAATCCATTTTAAACAGAAACACAAGGTGAAAAAACGTAAGAGGTACAAGAATGATGATAATGATCCAGCTGAATATATCAGCTCAGTCTTTGAATGCTGTATAGATTCTACAGAACACAGTGGCACTCCCAGGATGACTGAGGTGAGCTAAAGGGGAAGTTTCCCTTTCCATAACCTCTATGTATATAATTGACAGTAGATATTATTTTCTTCATGTGCAAAATATACACATGTGTTAATGTAAGATTGGTTGAGATATGGGCAGTGTCTTAAATACTTCTGGGTGGGAATTGAGCCAGAAATCAGATGGTGATGAGTCACTTGAATACCTGTCCCTGTGCCCCCTGGCTTTGATCCTGCATTATGATATCATGACAAAATCCTGTAAACTCCCCTTATATGTTTCTAGGTCCCCAGTGCAATCACAGCCTGAAACATTCTTTCTTGAGGCTATGATGAGTGAGAACAGCCAACAGGAGGGAGCCACACCTGCTTATAAAAGGCAGATCTTCCAGAACAACCCACACTCTGAATCTGGATGTGTAAGAGAGAGGACCTTTCACTTGAGCTTCAACATGGGATTGTGAACTGAAGACCCAGACCCCTACTACCCCTACATCAAATTCCCCACTGACCACTCCCCTTTCCAACAGATCTCCTTTACAGACAAAGACCCATAAGAAGGGGCTTTTGAATGGATAGGTAAGACAATGGCTTCCCATTCCAGTGAGAATGCAATCCAAAGGCAAGGTAAGATCTTGAGCTGTCCATATGGAGGTTGGAAGGAGTGGTGTCAGCAATATTGAGTGTTGTCTTTGATAGGGTTTTATTCTGAGCATGAGTATGAGAAATACCTTATAGCCCTCAAGGCTTCGATAAATGTAACAGTGATCTCCTGGATCTGTATTCTTTGCTTCACTCTTGACACTGGCTGAACAGCATCACTTCTGGGAAAGAAGCACAAATACGGACCAGAGATGGACTATAGGGCTCTGTGGTTCATGACAGTTGAGTCACATAATCTTCCATTTGCACTAGGATCAGAGCCCAACCCAAAGGAGAAGGAGAATTTCAAGGAAACTAAGCTCAAAGCCAGAAATAGCACCACTAGATTAGGTAAGGTCTGACTCTTCCAGGTGAGAAGGGACAGTAGATGGATTATCACAGTCTCCCCTGAGACAAGAACTGGAGCTTTTTGGCAGCCAGGGTCTTATAGTTCCTGGACTCTAGGGAACAGAGGAGAAATGAATTTTGGTGACAACTTCAGCTCCTGATTATCCAGGAAGAGGAAAGTCAGTTCCAAGAACAGCTGCCAAAACAGAGCAGCAGGTAGAATTTTTGCTTTTTGCTCCAAAGGTGAGACAGGTAACTTATAAAGGGATTGGGCAGAAAGGGGGTTTCTCAGTGACTGAGTGGATTCTAGAGATCCTGAAAATCAAAGAGCATTTGGGAGGGATTCAACCTTGTTTATCATTGAGGCTGAGGGGACTGAGAAGGAGGAGGAGAGGCAAGTGGGGTTCCCCTGAAGGTACACGGGAAGGTTGCAGAATTAGTATCCTTGAGAACTGTTCTGCTTAGTCTTTCACTCACATGTTTCCTGCACAGAGTACTATCTTGGAGATGAGCACAGCTTGACTTTGGAAAAGAAACCAAAGGCTTCCAACATCATAAATGGCACTGAAATCAAGGAGACATGTGATGCCCATAATAGAGAACCACTGAGGGCCCACACTGAGTGCAACAAGATGCTCAGATCTCAGTTCCCAGTAGATCACCTGTGGCCATTTCATAAAAGACTGGTAACCTCCCTGCAAGCAATTTCTGAGGCCATGTATCAAGACAGCCTGGGCATGGGCACAGCAGATGAGGCTTGAGCTGGGAGCTCTCTGAACTATTCAGAAGAGCATGCAACTGTGGGGGCAAGAACAAAGACCAACTACTTCTCAGATTCTTCCTGATGACTTGCAGAAATTTCAGACACACTGTTTAATATATGACAGAACCTGGGACAGTGTCAGTAAAGGAACCTGAACAATATACTCACAATGGTGAAATCTGAGTTTATGGAGGGCTAAGATTACTGACAAATTTTGTAATTCATGTAGGACAGTTGAGTATTTTGGATGTTTTATTACTGTCCTGCAATTATTTATAATTAGAAACATATTAGAGTTTAATTATTCACATGTTTGTATACTGTAAAATGTAGCAAATAGATATATATTTATATCCTCCTTCTTTAATCCAGAAAAAGACGTAGATCTTCACTTTCTTAGCCCCAGTCAATTGAGGACTTATATCTATTAACCTTTTTTATTTTATTTTTATTTTAGTGTATTATGGGGGTACAAGTGTTAAGGTTACATATATTGCCCATGCCCCCCACCCCGAGTAAGAGCCTCAAGCGTGTCCATCCCCCAAATGTTGCACATCTTACTCGTTGTGGTTGTATATACCCATCCCTTCCTCCCCCACCTCCACCCAACACCCGATAAATGTTACTCCTGTATGTCCACTTAGGTGTTGATCTGTTAATATCAATTTGCTGGTGAGTACATGTGGTGCTGGTTTTTCCATTCTTGAGATACTTCACTTAGTAGAATGGGTTCCAGCTCTATCCAGGAATATACAAGAGGTGCTGTATCACCATTGTTTCTTAAAGCTGAGTAGTACTCCATGGTATACATATACCACATTTTATTAATCCACTCATGAATTGATAGGCACTTGGGTTGTTTCCACAGCTTTGCAATTGTGAATTGTGCTGCTATAAACATTCGAATGCAGGTGTCTTTTTCATAAAGTGACTTTTGATCTTTTCGGTAGATGCCCAGTAGTGGAATTGCTGGATCAAATGGTAGATCTACTTGTATCAGTTTGAGATATCTCCATATTGCTTTCCACAGAGGTTGAACTAGTTTGTAGTCCCACCAACAGTGCAGCAGAGTTCCTCTGTCTCCGCATCCACGCCAGCATTTGTTGTTTGGGGACTTTTTGATAAAGTCCATTCTCACTGCAGTTAAGTGATATCTCATTGTGGTTTTGATTTACATTTCCCTGATTATTAGAGATGTAGAACATTTTTTCATATGCTTGTTGGCCATTATTCTGTCTTCCTTTGAGAAGTGTCTGTTCATGTCCTTTGCCCATTTTTTGATAGGGTTATTTGATTTTTTTCTTGCTGATTTTATTTTATTTTTTTTGAGACAGAGTCTTGCTTTGTTGCCCAGGCTAGAGTGAGTGCCTTGGCATCAGCCTAGCTCACAGCAACCTCAAACTCCTGGGCTAAAGCGATGCTACTGCCTCAGCCTCCCGAGTAGCTGGGACTACAGGCATGCACCCACCATGCCCGGCTAGTTTTTTCTATATATATTAGTTGGCCAATTAATTTCTTTCAATTTTTTTTTTTTAACAGTAGAGATGGGGTCTCGCTCAGACTGGTTTTGAACTCCTGACCTTGAGCAATCCGCCTGCCTCGGCCTCCCAGAGTGCTAGGATTACAGGCGTGAGCCACCTCGCCCCGCCTTGCTGATTTTCTTGAGTTCTAAATAGATTCTAGTTATCAGCCCTTTATCAGATGTGTAGCTTGCAAAAATTTTCTCCCATTCTGTGGGTTGTCTGTTTGCTCTCTTGACAGTTTCTTTGGCTGCACAGAAGCTTTTCATTTTGATCAGGTCCCATTTGTTTATTTTTGTTGCTGTTGTGATTGCCTTTGGGGACTTCTTCATAAACTCTTTGCCTAGGCCAATGTCTAGAAGGGTATTTCCAACATTTTCCTCTAGAATTCTAATAGTTTCACACCTGAGGTTCAAGTCTGTTACCCAGCGTAAGTTGATTTTTGTGAGAGGTCAAAGGTGTGGGTCCTGTTTCAGTCTTCTACATGTGGCTATCCAGTTTTCCCAGCACCATTTATTGAATAAGGATTCTTTCCTCAGTGTATGTTTTTGTCTGCTTTGTCAAAGATTAGTTGGCTATATGAGGATGATTTTATATCTGGGTTCTCTCTTCTATTCCACAGGTCAATGTCCCTGTTCTTGTGCCAGTAAAAAGCTGTTTTAGTGACTATAGGCTTGTAGTATAGTTTGAAGTCTGGTATATTGATACCTCCTATTTTTTTTTTATTGCCTAGGGTTGATTTTGCTATATGGGGTCTTCTCTCGTTCTATAGGAAGCACAAAATTATTTTTTCTATATCTGTGAAAAATGATGATGGTATTTTGATAGGGATTGCATTGACTCTGTAGGTCAGTCTACAGCAATCAGACAAGAGAGCGGAATTAAGGGCATCCAAATGGGAGCAGAAGAGATCAAACTCTCACTCTTTGCTGATGACATAATATTATACCTAGAAAACCCCAAGGATTCAACCAAGAGACTCCTTGAATTGATAAATGAATTTGGTAAAGTCTCAGGATACAAAATCAATACACAGAAATCAGAGGCATTCATATACACCAACAATAGTAAAAGTGAGAACCAAATCAAAGACTCAATTCCCTTCAAAATAGGAACAAAGAAAATAAAGTACCTTGGAATACATTTAACTAAGGAGGTAAAAGACCTTTATGAGGAGAACTATGAAACACTGAAGAAGGAAATAGCAGAGGATGTAAACAGACGGGAGAATATACCATGCTCGTGGGTCAGCAGAAGCAACATTGCTCATATGTCTATATTATCCATTAACCTTTAATAGCATCCTCTAGGGAGGAATGTTTACCTTTTCCAGTTTGGTGAAATCACCATGCCATCGTTTACTTTTCATTTGATATAAAATTTAAGACAGAGTATCTTATATGCTTATTGATAATATTTATTCTCCACCTGGCTCATGTCACTTGTCTTATTTTAATCTTTCTCCCATTTTATAGGTTTCAACTGATCTTATTTTATTATAGAATATTAAATCTAATATCAGTATTGTCATTTGTGTTACATATGATATTTTATTTCACATATTTTTATTGATATTTTATACTAGAATCATGAAATATTTCGTGATACAAATGTACTTAATTTTTATGTGAGAAAATAAATGTATTTGACTTTTTTCATTCTTTGTCTTATAATTTCCAGATATGGAATGATATAAATATTAACATTTTTTAGTATTATAAATTTCTAATAATTATGCATTTTATACATATGGATTTTGTTTTACCTACACGTGTGGGTTACAGGGCTGTTTTCTCTTCACTTCTGCTTCATCCCCGCCATGACCTCCCAGAACCCACGGCTCTTGTTATAGCTGGGGGATGCAGTCTATCCTTCCTGTAAACGGGGGCAGTCCACGACGACACACTACACATCAGTTTGAAACAAGACACACCTTCAAATACAAGTCTCTACATGTGCAAAAAATATACATATTAAAATTTAAAGTTACAGTTAAGGAGGGAGGTGAAAAAAAAAAGAATTGTTAAACGAAAATGGAGGCCAGGCCTGAAGAGCCCCTAAATTAGGCCTGATTAGTGACCTCAAGCTTGCTTGATTTATAAACATAAGCAAAATTTAACTTGAGCAAATTCTTGAAAATGCCTATATTTAAAAAAAAATATCCTAAGTTCAACTAATCAGAAGTAGCAAAAACACCTTATAATTATATAACTAGAGAATTTGCAACAAGATGTGAACTAAAATAAAATCTTAAGCCTCCCCAGCCAAGTAAATGGACCCCTCCTCTTGGCCGGCATATTAAAAATAGTAAGCTAGAATTTTGTGCACTGATTTGAAAAGTTATCAATCATCTATAGCTTAGAAAAGAGTAATTTTTTTAAAAAAAATGTACAATGATATAATTTATGATAAAAAATTTTATATAATTTCACAGAAAGTATCCAGAAGAATAAATAGCAACCTGTTAATGACAGTTTCTTCTATGAAGGCAGTGATTTTGGAGGAAAGGAGAGACTTTAAGATCTGTATAATTTGACTTTTTTTATAGCATGAATTTTTTTTTTGAGACAGAGTCTCGCTTGTTGACCAAGCTAGAGTGAGTGTCGTGGCATCAGCCTAGCTCACAGCAACCTCAAACTCCTGGGCTCAAGCAATCCTTCTGCCTCAGCCTCCCGAGTAGCTGGGACTACAGGCATGTGCCACCATGCCCAGCTAATTTTCTATATATATATTAGTTGGTCAATTAATTTCTTTCTATTTATAGTAGAGACGGGGTCTTGCTCTTGCTTAGGCTGGTTTCAAACTCCTGACCTCGAGCAATCCGCCCACCTCAGCCTCCCAGAGTGCTAGGATTACAGGCGTGAGCCACTGCGCCCGGCTAGCATGAATTTTTTATAATTAGAAAAAGTAAAAAAGGATATGTTACCATTTGATAGGAGGGCAATAATTTTATTTTTATCAATATTTGTAGCATATGTTAGTTTACAGCACACATCTGTGCAAAAAAGCCCAGAGGAAAGATTAACACAAATAAATCACTCCTGCGAAAAGTGAGTGGATTATCTTTGCATGATAACAAATGTTCAATGTGAAAACTGGTCAGGATCTACCACTCACTCAGCTCACTCAGTAAACCCAACATCTGGCAAGGGGAATGCAGAGGCCAGGGAAGGCCAGCCTCCAGCTACTTTCCTCCCACACCATGTCCCTATTTGTGCAAGTCTCCTATCATCATGTAAAATGTGGACTGAGAATGGAACATGTACCCTTGGGGATTCGGTCAGACAGACATGGAGTAGAAATATGAGGAAATTGTACACACCATGGAGACAGAGCTCCAGGTTAAGATGCAAAATGCACCATCAACTTGTACAAAGTTAAGAAAGTTACTCAATCCCTCTCAGTGTCTATTTTCTCACCTGTTAAATGAGGATCACATGCCTACTTGATCACGTTATTTTGAGGGTTAAATTCACTAAGGTATTTAAAAGTGCTTTGATTAACAACGTAATGTCAGACCTCAAAACACACAAAAGGAATTATGTCAATAAGACCAAAGACAAGATGCCCAGTTTCCCAAGAAGCTACAGCAGCAGCAAACTGAGATCAGCAAGTGATGCATTCTCCACTGGCGAGAACAAACCTGGGGCTACAGCAAGATAAGAGTACAAGATAAGAGTGGCCGGAGTACAGTGACTTAGGTAGTGAGGGTGGAATCCCTAAAGACCCTGGGACATACACGTACACAACCGGCTCCCAGGAAACAACTGGAACACACCACGCAGCCCAGCAGATACTCCCAGGAATGAGGTGAGCAGCAGATGGTCAGAGCCACAAAATCCAAGCAGAATACACCAAACCACAAGGAGCACCCAGCTCTGTCAACAGCAGCTGTGGCTGCATCAGGAGCAACCTTCTGAGACACCCACTG